ATGGTTCAGCCTATTTTCCTTTGCTATGCAAAGTCCTGGCCAGACTAGACCACTCTCCTTCTCCTAAAATGCTTTGTACATTCCTGCCTCAACTTTTTTCTAGGCTGTGACCTGGCTCGTACTTCTCCTACCACTCTCTGGTATGAAATGCTCTCTGCCTATTAAAACTCCGCCCATCCTTCAAGATCCAGCTCAAATTTTATCTATTCTATAAAGTCTTCCCTGTTTGAAAAAGGTTATACACACACACACACACACACACACACACACACACATCTCACATATTTTTTTGTCAGTTGTGTGCTAGGCAGTTTGTTAGTCTTGGGGAATACACAGGTGAGCAAGTTGTGTTCCTTGCCCCAAAGGAGTCTCTAGCCCAAAGGGCCAGAGTCGGCGATGGGGACATGTGCTGGAAGAGGCCCATGAAATTTAAAGACTTCTCATCCCCACAGCTTCCTTTGAAAGAATGTAACCCAAGGCAATTCTGTCTACATAAAATTGCTGACAGTTTTTGTCAAGTACAGACAGTTACGCTAACACTGCTGTTCTGGCCTCCAACACCTCTGGGGGCCTTGGCTTTCTACTCTGCTCAAAAGGGGCACCCCGTGTTGAATGGTAAGAACCAATCCAATAAGATTCTCTCTTCTGGGGAGAATTCCTTTGGGGGACACACAGATAGTCATTCGCGCCCAGACTGCACCGTATCCCGCTGCTCACATGCTCCAGGAGGGACGTGACACATCTGTCATGGAAGCACTAGTTCCCCCAGAGCCTGTATCACCATGGAGATAACACCTCTGTTTCCTTCAACAGGAATAAGCCTCCCTTTTCCAAGGTAATCCAGGAGCAGCTCTTCCAGGCAACATGAGAGAGACTGACCAACACATGGTGGTCATGAGAATGTAAGCGAATTAACATGCACAGTGACCAGTAAATAAGCCACAGTGAGAGAAGAGGCAGCGGTCTTCAACTGGGTCCAGTATCAAAGCAAGCTAGTGGTGAAAAGAAGGCCTGACCCAGGGACATTTACAGAATGATCTAGTCCAGTCTCAGTTTACATAGGCAAGGAGAGCCCTGAGAGGCTGGCTGACTTGCCCAAGGACCTTAACCATTTAACAGCAGAACCTGCAGGCTTTCTGATTCCCGGTGCTCCCCACGACACCCCCAGTGCACATGTCCCAGCCTAGACAAGGCTTGGCTATGTTCTGATGTCTTGCTGCCTTATTTTTTAAAAAAAAATCCAGTACTTTACAATGAATCTCAGAAAGCAGCTTAGGCTTTAGAGTGCCTCCCCTGTACCAGTTCTGCACCTACTTTTAAATTTGTAATTTTATGAGGTTTTTTTCTTAATACTGTTCCCCCAAATTATGTAAGCTTCATACCCACAAAACATGGGTCCAGCTCTGGCAGAGGGTATGTTACTTGGGAGGGGAAGGAATCTCATGGAAGAAGGGCTAAAGGAAAAAAATAAGAAAACGACAAGGGAAAGAGTCCCCTATAATCCATGGGATGAGTATGTTGCCTTTTTACCCTTTCAGGGATTTACTCCAAAATGATGCCGAGGGCTCCAAGCAGGAAATAGCTATAAAACATGATTGGGAGGGGGGTAATCCCTGAGAGCTGGGAGGCATCAGAAACAGCTAGGTTAGGCGGAGTGCAGTTGCTCATGCCTATAATCCCAGCACTTTGGAAGTCTGAGGATCCCTTGAGCCCAGGAATTTGAGTTTTCACTGCTCAATTGCAGTGAGCTATGATTGCACCACTCACTCTAGCCAGTGTGACAGAGTGTGACTGTCTCTCAAAAATAAATTATATCCTTAATGATAGCATTAAAAAAAAATAAAAAATAAATTAAATAAAAATAAAGCAGCTAGGTTAGATCAGTGAAGAGGAAAGTCAGGCGCAGGGAGCAGACTGGAAACAATATGAATAAGGTCTTCCCCCATGACAACTCCTGGGGCAGTTCCATAAAGAAGAATGCAACCAACTGATCCCCTGGGCTGAAGAAGAGAAGAGGGAGAATATTGACCCCAGATCTAGAGCTGGCAAGCCCAAAAGAGACTCCGCAGCAGGTGGTGTGCAGGTTCCTCCTTTTGGAAGGAGTCCCACTTAGGAGCCGCAGCTCTGCAAGGCAATGCATCTTTGTGACCACAGGGAGGCTGCATCTCAGGCGCCTTCCATCTGCTTGCTCTGGTTCACCTCTTACAGAATTCAAAAATTTAATTTATTTTTCTCTCCTTATTTAAAAATGCTGTTCTTGTTATTGTAAAATAAAAAAGTGAATTGAAAAAATGTTAGAAAATGCATGACCATGGCCTGTGGTCTCTCTATTAAAGAAAACTACTTAGATTATATGTTGATGTATCTGCTTCCAAACTTGTCTAAACATTACATATACACAGTATATAGTGTTAGACATAAACATTATGTATACGGGATTCTGTTTTTGCTTATATGTATGTGCACATTCTATAGGAGAATATATACGTACATATTATTATAAAACAAAAATGGGATCATTCTGGACAGGCTGCTTCTCTTAAAATATCATGAGCATCTTTCCCTACCAAGTTCAATAAAATAATTTTAAATGATGGTATTGTGTTGTGTTGTTCATCCCATTAAAAAAGATTTACTTTAGGCCGGGCGCGGTGGCTCACGCCTGTAATCCTAGCTCTCTGGGAGGCCGAGGCGGGCGGATTGCTCGAGGTCAGGAGTTCGAAACCAGCCTGAGCAAGAGCGAGACCCCGTCTCTACTATAAATAGAAAGAAATTAATTGGCCAACTAATATATATAGAAAAAATTAGCCGGGCATGGTGGCGCATGCCTGTAGTCCCAGCTACTCGGGAGGCTGAGGCAGGAGGATTGCTTGAGCCCAGGAGTTTGAGGTTGCTGTGAGCTAGGCTGACGCCACGGCACTCATTCTAGCCTAGGCAACAAAGCGAGACTCTGTCTCCAAAAAAAGATTTACTTTAATAAACTCATCATGGAAGATGCTAAGTGGCTGCCTACCGGGATTTACCGAACTGTATTTCTATACTGGAAGTATGTATTCCATTTAAAACCAAACACGTGAGTCACAGCTGCCTTCAAAAAATTACCCACATCTCTGGCCACGGACCTAACGCGGCAGAAGCGACCGCGCCGGGGCGCCGGGCCGAGGGCGGGCGGCGTGGCCGAGGTCGCCGGGCAGCACACTGCCCAGCCAGGCCCTTGCTCGCCAGCCGGGCGGCCGTGCCGCGGCGCCCCAGCTCCCCGGCCGGGCCGGGCGGGGCCCCGGGCAGGACGAGACTTTCGGTAGCCGAGTGTCTCGGCGGAGTGCGGCCGCGGGGCCGGGCGGGGAGCCCGCGCGCCGCCGTCGGGCCTGCGGGCCGGTGCGTGGTGCGGCCGTCGGCGCGCGGGCGGGCGGGCGGGTGGGGCCGCGGGCGGGCGGGCGCCGCGCCTGCCGTTCGCCTCTCGGACTGCAGGTGGGGCTGTGCGGCCGCGCTGCCTCCAGGAAGCCTCACGGGCCTTCGTCGGCCGGGCCGCGGCGCCGGCTCCCAGGATGCAGTGTGGACCGGCCGGGCGCTGACGGCGGCGGCGCGTCTGCGGGCGGAGCGGCGGCAGGCCGGCCACCGAGGAGCGCGGCGGGAAGGCAGGGCCGGCCGGCGCCGCCTGCGGAGAGGACCGACGGCGGCCTGCGGAGCGGCCGCGGCGGCGGCGGCGGCGGCGGCGACTTCCTCCGGGCCGCCGGACAGCGCAGGGCCATGGCGAGCGGGCGGGCTCCGGTAAGGCGGCGGCGCGCACGGACGCGCGCTCGGCCCCGGGCGGCCTGGGCCCGGCACACGGCGCCGCAGGCTCGGGGAGGGTTCCGGGTCCGGGCCGGACCGCCGGGCTGGGCGCCGGCGAGCGGAGCGCGGGGTCCGCCCGGGCCTACGGCGCCCGCCGGCCGGGCCCCACCGCGGGCCGAGCCCGAGCAGCGGCGGACGGTTGTCCCCGCGCCGGGGCCGCGCCACACCAAGTTCCTGCTGCCCCGCGGGGCTTCCTGCCCCGCCCGGCCGCTGTCCCTGCACCTCCGCGCCCCCCACCCGCGGCTCCTTTCTCTGCCTAGCGCTCGGCCCGTGCGTTCCCTCCCCCAGCTCCCCCCAGCGGCCTGGTGGCACCTGGGAGGTGTCCGGCTTCGATTCCGCATACCCTGAGCGCCCACTACGTGCCCAGCCTGCGCGGAAGGGACTTGCTCCGGTGTGTAGAGCCAGGCACTGCACCAAGCCCACCCAGGCTTTATTTTGTCCCGCAACAAACCTGTGGGGTAGGTGCCACTATTATCTGTCATACAAAAGAAAACCCCGGGGCCTGGAGAAGTTAACTCGCCCAGGATCACACAGCTGGAAGTGTGAAAAGACAGTCGCTCTGTGTTCGAGGACCCAGCAGACAGTACACAGGTAGTAGCCGTGCAAAACAGAGCATACTGCGGGCGTGCAGGGGACCCTGCCCGCCCCTCCGGGCCTGATACTCTGCTTCTGTGGTTTGGGCGAGCTTTTACGCTAGGCTGGAATTTCATCAGGCCGAGCTAGGCCGGCGGAGCTTCTCAGGAAGGGAGAAGTACTTGGGCAAAGGCACAGGGAGATGGGACAGTGTGGCTCGTGTTCGGGAACAGAAAGGAGTCGGTGAGCCTGGGAAAGATGGTTTTGGTAGGAGCTGCAGAGAGAGTTGGAAGGAGTTTGGTGCCTGGACTTCGTGGGTGGGCAGCCCATCAACTCTTCTCAAGCAAAGAGTTTCCACGATGGCCCCATGTGTTATCTAGCCACCAGTTGGTAAGGAGCTGGGCTTGGCTGAGCAGAGAACAGCCACCACCTCCCACCAAGTAACATGAAGGCCTTAAGCAGGGCTTCCTGGCCCCATCAAAATGGTACGAAAACTGTGGCCTGTTGTTCAAATAGTGAAGAGTAACGTTTTCTTAATAAAGTGGGAATTTGTGCAGATGCCCTTTTCATGCAACACAGAGACTAATAACAGGATGGGTAGGGTTTCATTGTTGGGGAGCTGGGTATGGGTGTGAAAGGACCCTTCTGGACTAAACTCTTGGAGTCGGGACCATGTGACAGGGGCGGATGTGAGAGTGGAGAGGTGAGGGAAGGAATGGTGGCCTTGCAGAGCCTGGGCAGGCCGCGCCTGCTGGAGAGCAAGCCTCACCACCACCTGTAGCTTTTCTCCTCCAGACAGGGCTCTGCCCATCCAGAACTTCCCGTCCTTTGGGACCCGTAAGTCCTTCTTTCTTCAGGTCCGGCTTCCTTCCAGGCAAGCAGAGAACCTCTGAAGCACTATCCTGCACAGTTGTGTTTTTTTTTTTCCTGCCTCTGCTCAAATTCTCTTTGTCTCCGTTTTCTGAGCTGTCCTTCCATATTCTAGTTCTTGGTGACATTCTCTAAATGAGCCCCTACTGGTTCCTAGTAGCCACTTCCTTAACTTTGCAGATAGTCACCAACCTTGTATTTGGGAATGATTTTCCAGAATTTAAGTCCCTGATGGAGGAAGGCCCCAGTCCCAGGACCTCCTCCTTGCCCCACAGCTCCCCACCCAAAGCCAAGCGTGCCCTTTCTTCATTGTCCCCAACTGCTGGTCACCCAAGACACTGTGTGAGTGTTTCCAGTGACAGGGAGCACCACTTAAGGTTGTTGCTGCATGTCTAAAAGTGTAACTTTGTGGCATATGTCTGTCTTCCTCACCAGACTGTAGGGTGTGTCACTGATCCCAGGCTACAAAAATGCCTGAGACTATCATTTTAACCCTGGGAAGGGGGGGAATTGGGAAAGAAAAAGTCAGAATCTTAGCAGGCTTAGGCAGTGTCAAAAAGTCTAACTCTTGGCTGGTGGAGATTTGCAGTAGTGGTGATTTTAGCTTGTGGGGGAAGGGCAAATGGGAAAGGAATTAAAATCAGATTGTCCTGGGGGAAGGGGAATTGGCTGTTACATTTTTATGCTTATTAAAAGGGGGCATGAGATGCTTCATAAAAAAAAAAGAAAAGGAAAGAAAGAAATTGAGCAATACTCTTGTTTGTGCCGTTTCAGTGAACCAGCTGTTTTTTTTGCTAGGTCATCACCAGTAGACAGTTCCTGTGTAATCATGACGGGAGGTGCAGGCTGGGCTCTAGCAAATCTGCAGTTTACCGTTTCTCCACTAAAACGCCCCAGCAATGCCAAGTCACTGCCATGTGGCCAAATTACACCGAGCGCCTGCCATGTGTCAAGCTCTGTGCTGTGACAAGATGCAGTGCCACCTCCAGGGAGCCCTCAGTGTAAGGGCGCGTGGGAAGTCACTGTGTAGGGCGATCAGCCCCAGGGTAGCAGTCTGCACAGCGCGCTGCAGAGGCCTGGAGGAAGGGCACCCCCAGACGTAGGCCAGACCTAAGACACCCTACGGAGGTGATTGCCAAGTTGAGATCTGGCATGTGGTACAGGATAGCCCCACTTTCCACACACAGGGGCTCCCCGCTCCCAGCCCAGCTCCCCCATGCCTAGGGCAGATAGGCTCAAGGAATGCACTGGGTGGAATGAATGATGTGGGCTTCTCTCTCTTATTTCTCAAAGATTTCTCCGTGGACAATGGCAGCTACGATTCAGGCCATGGAGAGGAAGATTGAATCGCAGGCTGCCCGCTTGCTGTCTCTAGAAGGTCGAACCGGGATGGCGGAGAAGAAGCTGGCCGACTGCGAGAAGACGGCCGTGGAGTTCGGGAACCAGCTGGAGGGCAAGTGGGCCGTGCTGGGGACCCTGCTGCAGGAGTACGGGCTGCTGCAGAGGCGGCTGGAGAACGTGGAGAACCTGCTGCGCAACAGGAACTTCTGGATCCTGCGGCTGCCCCCGGGCAGCAAGGGGGAGGTCCCCAAGGTAGCGCCTGGGGACCCTGGGCTGGGGGAGCCCAAGGGCTGTGCCTGTGAGCCTGTGGGTGAGCATGTGCCACACTTGTGGTTCCAGGTGCCCGTGACCTTTGATGATGTGGCCGTGTATTTCTCCGAGCAGGAGTGGGGCAAGCTGGAGGACTGGCAGAAGGAGCTCTATAAGCACGTGATGAGGGGCAACTACGAGACGCTGGTCTCCCTGGGTAAGGCCTGGCACCCCTTCCTCTGTTGAATGGGATTTTTTTTAAGCCCTCAATCTCTATCTTGTCGTAGTTGTTTTTGTCTCAGCAACATGTAAATCTCTAGAAACGTTGATCTTGCAAGGAGTTACTACTTCCTCCTGCGAAAGATGAGCCCTGGGCAGCAGAGTCCGAAGCTCCCTTCTCCCTGGTGGCCGCATGGAATGCCCCTCTCCTAACCAGGCCGGGAGTATGGACCTTTCTGTTCCTGCTGAGGCTTGGAGTGGAGAAGCCACCTATTGCTCCTGTGCCCAGTAAATCATCAACCCCACATTTGAGAAAGGCTTTTTCTTTTAGCCTTCTCTTGCAGGGATGTGTGGCCTTCACGTGACATGCCTCGGGGTCAGGAGAGAACATGGGCAGACCACGCTTCTTGCAGCAAACCATTTCTTCATGCCCCGAAGCTTTGCTTGCCCCAGACCCTGGGGCTACTGCTGCTCTCCTCATCTGTACTTTCCAGGAAAGGCCTGGACTCTAATTCCTCCTGGGCTGGTTTCTGTGTGACCCCAGAGCTTCGGGTAACAAGGCTGAGGATGAGAGCAGGTGCAGACTGACATTAAGAACTGTCCTGATCTCACTGTGCACCTGTATACCAGAGTTTCTTAACCCCAGCACCCCGGACATTTTGGACCTGGATGATTGTTTGGGGGACCTGGGGGGCTGTCCTGTACTTTGTAGGATGTTCAGCAGCATCCCTGGCCTCCCCCCGCCAGATGCCAGTAGCCCCTCTCCCTGAGCCCTGGTCATGACAGTCAAAATTGTCTCCAGAGTTTGCCAGATGTTTCTTGGGGAGCAAAATTGCCTATGGTTGGGAGCCACTGCTCTATATCCATTGAGGAATCTAGTTTCTAGACCATTTTTGGTTTTCCAGGCTGACTGTTCCCAGCCTAACTGGACATGACAAAAACTAACCTTTCTGTCCTTCCTCAGACTATGCCATCTCCAAGCCCGAGGTCCTCTCCCAGATTGAACAAGGGAAGGAGCCGTGCAACTGGCGTCGCGCTGGCCCCAAGATCCCAGATGTTCCCGTGGACCCAAGTCCAGGTGAGGGGCTGGGAGAAGGCCAGGGAGACGGCAGGTGATCAGTTGGAAACAGAAAAGTAAGGGCCAGGGAAGGTGTGATCTTTCCAGAGAGAGCCAAAGAGAAACATCAACCTTAAATGTCTTAAATCTAAGTGTTTTATAGTTGAGTTATAACCTCTAACCTATTCAGCTAATACTCTAGAAACTGACACTTTCCATCAGGGAAAGAGGCAGCAGCCCTAGTCTTTTAGGAAAAAGAATGAGCAGCACAGAATTAGGGGCACAGGGAGGAGGACTCTGAGAGAGCAGGTAGGAGAACTATTGATTCATGAACAGGATGGGGGTTGGGGCACCGGCCCCCCATGCAGGCGAAAATCCACATACAGCTTTTGACTCCCCCAAAACTTAACTACTAATAGCCTGCTGTTGACTGGGAGCCTTACCAATAACATAAACAGTCTATTAACACACATTTTGTTTGTATGTTCTATGTGTTATATACTATGTATACTTACAATGAAGTAAGCTAGAGAAAAGAAAAATGTTACCAAGAAAATCATAAGGAACAGAAAATATACTTACTATTTATTAAGTGGGAGTGGCTCATAATAAAGGTCTTCATCCTTATCGTCTTCACATTGAGCAGGCTGAGTAACAGAAAGAAGGTTGGTCTTGCTGTCTCGCATGGCAGAGGTGAAGAAAGTCCACATACAAGTGGACTGGCACAGCTCTAACCTGTGTTGTTCAAGGGTCTGCTGTATGTTGAAAGCAAAATCGACTCATAGATTTGCAAAGAGTCATCCTTCCATCTAAGAACCAAATTTCAATTAAATCCATTAGTAGTTGCAGAATATAAACCCATCGGTTAGCCATATGGCCCAGTAGAATTAGAACCACAAATTTATTTAAGGTGAATCTGGATACCAGATATCAGTGTCTCAAGTTTTCCTGGAGTCGGTCAGTACCTTTGAAAGTTAAGAGAAGGACAGGCGGCTGTGTGAGAAAAACCAGGTTCCTGGAGTGAAGACCTTGCTGGGTGGTTTGACCAGGGAGACTCTGTCTCTGCCAGGCCTGCCCCCCATTCCTGCAGAAGACCTCTCTTGACTGTCTCGCCTGCCTTGGGTTTCCCTTTCATCCGACACCTAGTTACCCAAAAGGCTTCCTGTGTTTAACTCGTGTTGGAGTAAATGTGTCTTCCATTGTGTTTCATCCCGGTGAGATGTTTCGCTTTACAGTGGCAGAAGCATGTGCAGAGCTGACCACGGGGCCACATTCATTAACGCATTTGCCAGTTTAGTCCAGCAAAGGCATTTTGAGAATCTGGGTGCCGACGCCAGCGCTGAAAGCTGGAGGGTAGAAAATGGCTGAGAGCAGATACCGTCTGGATGGAAAGGACAGCTTCCAGCCTCTTGCCCGTGGCAGCAGACCCGCGGGGGGTGGGTTCTGTTGTGTTTATAACGTGTGTGGAAGCTTCCCTGGCTTCCACACCGTGGCTGCCGAGAGCGCAGAGGAGCTCAGAAATATGGCAGCTGCCGGTGACATCTCCCAGCACTCACAAACCCACTGTCCACCTTGAGCCTGTCAGCAGGAATCCCGTGTGGCCTTTGTCCTTGTCCTCTCTGGTCCAAGAAGAGGGACACTCCCAGCTGGTCCCTCATCTCCATTTTGCTAGGTCCGTGCCCTTGTCAGACCTCAGCTCCCCTTCCCTTCCCCTCCTGCAAAGCCCTCCGCTGAGCTTGGCAGGACTCAGCGCCCAGCCAGACCCGCTGGGTCCTGGGTGTTCCTGCGCCTTCCTGCTCAGGCTGAGCCCTGCCCTGAGCCCCCTGCATGCTGTTGTCCTCTTCCCCACGACCCCCAAGCCTCCGGGCCTGCAAGGTGGGTGTCCTTGCTGCTTGTAATCGCCGCTGTGCTGGTCTCCCTCTCTGGAAACCCGCCTGTGGGTCTCAGCCCTCTTTCTGCTGCCTCTGCAGCCCTCTGGGCACCTCCCCTGCCCCCTTCCTGCCCTCACTCTTGGCTATTGCACCTTCCACACATGGTCCTTTGCTCCCTCCCCCTGCCCCCACAGTGGTCCCTGTGACTGGATGACGCCCCGTCCCCCCTCCCCACTTCCAGCTTGCCACTCCCGGCTCCTGCTGTCCCTCCTGGTGAAATCCGTCCGCTGGTTCTGTGCCTGCACCTGAGCAGCCGCGTGGCTGGAGAAAGCCCCACAAGCCGCTGGTCTCCTGACATTGGCGACCAGTGGCTTCAGTGGACTCTCTGCCCTGCAGTCACTGTGCCTACTCAGCCACCTCCCTAGCCCAGGGGTCAGCAAACTATGTCCCAAGGGCCAGACCTAGCCCATCTGTTTCTGTGTGGCCCACAAGCTGAGAATGGTTTTTGTATTTTTTTTTTTAACTTTTTTTCTAATTAAAAAGAAGCACACCACACTCGCAGCCTTCCCTGCCCCATCTGCCTGCACCTGGGCCCCTCTTCTCTGCGCCGGCTCCCATGGCTGCTGAGCTGTCAGTCTTGCAGTCAAAGGCCCTTCCACCTGGCATGAGATCCCACCTGTGCCACCTTCTCAAGGGCAACCTGGACAATCCTGCCTCAACCCTGTACCACCCCAGCCACTGCCCTGGCCTCGCTCTCCTATGGCGGATCCCAGGGGACAGCATCTCTGCCTCTGTTTCCCACCCCTCCCTTCCCACTGTCTCTCCATCCCCTTCCACCAAAACCCTTCCTATCTCCATCACCAGTGACCCCATGGTGCTAAAAGTTCTGTTTTCTTTCTTGGCCTGTTTTAACATTTGCCACTGTTGATCACTCTCTCCTCCTAGAGTTGATTTTTTTTTTAAGTGGTGGATTCTCTCTCTGTTGTCCAGGCTGGAGTGCAGTGGTGTGATCATAGCTTATTACAACTTTGAACCCCTGGGCTCAAGGGATCCTGCCTCAGCCTCCTGAGTAGCTGGGACTGCAGGAATGGACCACCATACCTGGCTAATATTTTTAATTTTTGTTTTGTAGAGATAGGGGTCTCGCTGTGTTGCTCAGGCTGGTCTTGAACTCCTGGCCTCAAGTCATCCTCCTGTCTCAGCCTCCCAAAGCACTGGGATTACAGGCATGAGCCACTGCACCCTGCTGAGTCACATCTTTTGACCCTCCTGGTTTTCCTCCTCCCCATCACACCACTCTTTCTTTGCTGGTTCTTGTCGGTCTTGGAGGCCATTCAATGTTGGAGTTCCCTCAGCTCATACCTCCTCCCCTTCCTGGGTGCCCGGCTCTCACCATCCTGTGGGGTCTTAGGGCTGTGCTTACTATCTGGGAAAGTGCTCCTCCAGCCTGGGCCTCTGCCCCAGTTCCCCACCCCCAGCTGCCTGGCCAATGAATCCGTTTGCTTGTCCACAGACATCTCGTGCTGAACACACCCAAAGCCTGCTCCTGCTCTTCCCTTCAAAGCCTGCTCCTCCCACATTCTCCCAAGCTCCCTCCCATCCTTCCAGACGCAGGCCCCAGACCCAGGAGTCCTCTGTGACCCTCTCCTTCACATCCACATCCATCCATCGGAAATTCTCCTGGCCCTCCCTCCCGGATCTGCCCAGATTATTGCCAGCCCCTCTGCTCCCGCCTGCTCCCCCAGTCTGCTGGACCCAACAGAGTCCTCCCTCTACCACCCAAGTCCTGGCTCTCCACGAGATCCACACAGCCAGCACACCTCCTCCCGTTTCTCTCTTTCTCTGCTCCCGCTACACCGGCTCCATGCTGTCCCCGCAGCCCTGTCCCAGAGCCTTTGCGATGCCCTCTGCCCCGGTGCTCCTCAGAGAGGTCCCCGCCCGTGCCTCCTGCAGGCCTTTTCCCCAACCAGTACTCCCAGTCACTCCGCGTAACGTGCAGCCCTTCCACACCCAGGTCGCCGGGCTCGCTCTCCTGCTCTGGTGTGTTCCACATCAGACAGCGCCATCTGTCACATCTATTTCATACAGATCCACGGCCCCTCCCCACTAGAATGCAGACTTCAAGAGGACGAAACTTTTTATCTGTTTTGTTGATCTGATCATTCCAGACACCTAGAATCTTGCTTAGCACAAAGTAGGACTTCAATAAATATTTGTTAAGTGTATGCCATGCTTCATAATGTAAAACCCACGTATGTGTAGCACGTGTGTATGAAATAGTGTATTTCTGATACCATTTAGATCCCTTTTCGGTCTCCCAGTCCCATTCCTCCCTGGGATAACCACTTGTCCTGAATTTTGTGTTTATCCTTTCTATCCACATTTTAAAATATCTGTATAATATGTAGCAGTAAACAATATATAATACTGTTTTTTGTGTTTTGAAAAACTACAGGCCGGGCATGGTGGCTCACGCCTGTAATCCTAGCACTCTGGGAGGCCAAGGCAGGCGGATCATTTGAACTCAGGAGTTCGAGACCAGCCTGAGCAAGAACGAGACCCCGTCTCTACTAAAAAATAGAAAGAAATGAATTGGACAGCTAAAAATATATAGGAAAAATTAGGCGGGCATGGTGGCTCATGCCGTAGTCTCAGCTACTGTGGAGGCTGAGGCAGGAGAATTGCTTGAGCCTAGGAGTTTGAGGTTGCTGTGAGCTAGGTTGATGCCATGGCATTCTAGCCCAAGCAACAGAGTGAGACTCTGTCTCAAATAAAAAAAGAAAGAAAAATTACATAGGTGTCATTATATTTACCACTCATTATTCTATATTTCAGAGTCATCCATGTTGATACATTATAGCTCAAGTTCATGCATTTTAACAGATGCTTAAGCAACTTTAATTTATTTCCCATTCCTCCACTGATTTGCACTTAAGCTTATATCTAATTTTTTACTATCATAAGCGATACTGCAGTGAATATTCTTGAACGCATCTCTTTGTGCCCAGAGGACATGTTTCTCCAGGGAATAGACCCAGAGGCCTCACTGTGTCATAGACTCGTCTTCGCCTCTGTCATTTCCATATTGCTGTCCCCATGGCTACACCAGTTGACACCCCCACCAGCAGTTACGAAGTTCCTGTTTTCTTA